AGGTCACGGTAAAAGATGAGGTCTTTACAAGTTGGTGATGTCATCAGAAAGCTGGTCTGCACCTGCGGGGGGAACAAAAGGAATCTATGTAATTATATTTTTTCTATTAATTTGAAGCCGTTGGAATCACTTTCAGACGTAAACACTCGTCAGGATTTGCAGTCAGCAGCACAAAAACTAACAGGAAAATTTCCACTCCTGCAGACGAAAGGCCGACGGTCATTACACGCAGGTTTTATTTTCTCTGTAAATTAAGCACAGAGGCGACAGAATGGTAGCGAAAAGTATGCAAACTCGACCAAGCGTAATGACGACGACGACGACGATGATGATGTGAGGGGTTTTGGTGATGGGGGCTCAAGGCCTCTTTCTGCATGTCTGCAGCGTACCGTCACTGTCTCCCTGTTTATGGCCAAACCCTGCAGGAATGTAAAGTGCTGCACAATCAGAGCTTTGTTTTTCCTTTGCGTCCCAACATGTCCGGGCGCTGCCGCTTTTGTTCGCTTCACGGGTTCTGGAGGAAAAAGAGAAAAGGAAAAGAAGAAGAAAAGAAAGGAAGAAGAAGAAATGAACAGCTGGAGATCTTGACCGAACTCTCTCGTATTTGGGATGATACGGAACGGGTTTCGGATGTGACATCAAAATGAGGAGCAGCGCTGTCTGGATAAAAATGTGTTCAATTAATTAAGTTTGATAACTTTGTAAAAAGCATTCAGACAGCTTGAATTTTTACACCTTTTTTTAATCTATTCAAGCTTGATTTTCAGTGATAAATCTGTAAAGAGAACCGTATTTTAATGTAGGACAGAAAGACAAAGGGCTTTTCAAATATTTTAAAAACAATATTGAGCTACTACTTTATGTAACCTTTTGGATTACTTATTTTTTTTTTTTAGCATGCATCTAGCACATGAGAGTCCAACTCGATATCATTTCGGGCCACATCAAGGTTATTAATGTCCTCTCTGGGCAAAATATATTGATTAAGCTGCTTATTAATAAACTGTTGAAATAGTTTTAGCTCTCTCAGCACCCAAACTTAAAAATGAATAACATCTTTTCAGAAATATAAATAAACGTGTATTTGACTTAACTGACGAGTTTATATTTTCAGGGCCACATAAATAGCCACGGCGGGTCAGATTTGGCCCGCGGACCTTGAGTTTGACGTACGTTCTCCAGCAGGTTTGCAAACCTAAAAGACTGACTGTCAATTCTGGCCTTTAAGACATTTTCTTTATTATATTTAAATTTTTTTTTTTACTGTTCTGTTCTGTCACATGGATCTAATTTAAGTGAGGCTACTCTGCTGTAGTTCTGGTTGGACGCTTAAGGTCCTGTTGGAAAGGCTGTCTTTGTCCAGTTTCTATCCTCCAGAATGATTTCTTAAAGTTTTGACCTGTATTTAGATTTAATCATCTCTCCCTCAACTCTGAGCATTTTATTCCCACAGCATGATCCTGCCACCACGTTTCATTAGCGTTAGTTTTCCTCCATGCGCATAACTTTGCATGCTGGTTTGCAAAGCAGCATGCAACAAGAACTGATTGCACAGGGTTTTATTTAGCAGCCTCAGAGTGAAGGAGACTCATAGATGATCAACTTATCAGACTTTTCTCTGTAAATGACTTTCAGAACCATGCAATTCCACCCACTTCACAATTTTGCCATGCTTTGATTGTGTCTGCAACCTTTGCAATTCAACTGGGGCCATTTTTGTCTCCAGTTGACCTGCATGGAACATGTTCAGATCCTAACATGTAACCTGATTTTCTGATAAAAATCTGCCACAGGACATCTGTTGTCATTCTTAAAAAAATAAAACTTGTTTCATTTTCTTTTAATGGAGTTTTCACAATCAATAAATGCATAAAACTCTTAATGTATTCTCTTCTATGCATGAGATGCTGATATTTGTGGAAAGTGATGTAAGAAAAAGTGCAGCCTTTCCAAACTAATGACAAATATAAACATGTATATACGACTGGTACTTTTGTCATTCTGTTGAGGAGATTTCAAGCTATTATTCCGCAAAAGGAACCAACAGAGAACCTGTCAAAACCTGAATTTGCTATTTCATCGACATTGGACAACGTTCCATTTTTTGAATTGAATTCTGCTCTGCCACACGAGGTACGAATCAAATGTATTTGGATGGAAAGTGACAATATATGAAAAGCTCTGTTTGTGACTTTTGTCTCTGTGCTACAAGAAAAGATTTTTATTTTTTATTTGCAAATTGATAAACAGCCTTTTCTTATTATTCAAGCATCAAGTTGCCTCAAATGACCAAATTCAACCTGACGGGAAATCAAGAGGTTCAGTCGACGTGATTATAATCGATCAGTGGCAGGTCTCAGGATTCACTGCAATGACTCTGCAATTCCAAACACCAGGAAAGCCTTGCTCCTCAATTTAAAACACATTCACTTGATGAGGTTTGCAACAGAACACGCTGCAGGCTTTACTGCTATTTTTCCACTCCAATCACAGAGACGTTAAAATGCGTCTTTCAAATGTCACATTTTGACCTTTAAGGTTTTGGCTTTTTGACGTCTGTGGCTCCGTTGCTCTCTGAACCCTGACCACGTGCAAACTGGGCCTGATCGAAACACAACTTCCAGTGTGACTGAAAAGATTTTAGCAAATAAGCTGAGACCCCCGAGTCGTTTTCTTCAACTTAAACGCTGATTGCTTGTGACTTTGTCCTTCGAAACTGAAATAGAAACCTTCTGCTGATTCGTTTGAAAAATGTTATTTTGGGTGTCTTGCTCACAAACAGCTTAAACAAACAAGAATGGGACGAAACCCGCTTCGTTGGCCTTCACGATTTCAACATTTCAACGTTTGTTTGTTCGTATCCGCTCGAAAACGCCGACCCGGTCCCTTGGTAGCGAGCACATGTGTGGAAGAGAGCAGGGAAAGGGGAACGTTTCAAGAAGACGAGAAATGGAAAAAAGAAAAAAAAAAAGGAGGTATTTTTCCAGCATGCAGACAGAGCAGTTCATCAGGCTGATGCACGTCTCTGGATGGAGCTAAAAACAACAGCTTTGTGGAAAATGCGATACAGAGCTGAAGAGGGGAGTCTGGGCTAAACAAATGTCAATTTTGGATGCCGGGTGGATGAGAATGGGAAATGTGAGGAAAAAAAGATGCATTCCTGCGAATTTGCCTCATCGGCTTCCTGGCCTTGATTAGAGGGACGCAGGGATTCGTGGGACATTAAGATTAAGATCTCGACTGTCCAGCTGACAATTACCAAAAGGAAACTATGAGCGCCTTTATCAAAAGTGACATTGGTTTTTATAAGAGGAAGTGCGATTATAGCCTGCACTTATCCACTCAAGCTGCAGTGACAGCAGCACTTTCTAGAGGTTACCACTGTGCAATTTAAGAGTTCAGGTTTAAACCAACAATGGCTAAATGCAAACTGCTCGATTTGCAATGCTTTGCAAAAGTTTTTACGCTTCTTAATCTGAAATTTGACTTTTTTTTGACTGCATTTTGTCACAACTGAAAACAAAGTGTCTTATTGGGGTTTTATGTGTGCATAAAAGTAAAGTTAAGCAAATTGCTGCATTTTCAAAAATGTTTTCCAAACAAAAACAAATCTTAAAAGCGTTCACTGAACTACACAAAAGGTGGACTGTAGTTACTAAGATACAAGATCTCTGAAGATGTGCCGGCTACATCCCGAAATAAAATAGACCGAACGAATGTGTACAAGCTGTCTAGACCATCAGCCTGAGATACTAGGTGAGGAGTTAATTAAGCAGGAGGCCCCTGACAACTCTGGAGGAGCTGCAGAGATTCACAGCTTAAGATTGGAAAAAGACAAACAATTCTGGCCTTCATAAAGCAATGGAAACTAAAAGACGTAGTTTCAGTTTTGTAAAAGTCCTATCATGATACTTAATACATGCATTTAGTAGAAGTGCTACCACACATCTTCTGGTTTTAGCTAGCTTTAGCATGCTTTGCAGCAGGACGGTTCCTCGGCTCCTTTTCTTGACAGAAGCTCTTCCATGTAGCGCTTGCTACGCTAGCATGAGGAGCAAAGCGGCTCCATAAATTTGGCAGTCAGCCAATCGGATAGGTTAAGTTATTTTAACTTATATTTTATTTTATAACGACAGAAAAACAGATTAGTTTACGCTTTAAAGAAGAAAAAAAAATCTCATCTTCCCTACAAGCTGTGTATGGTCCTGGTAATTTTCCAGGTTCTGGAAAATCTGGAAAATTGCAGGTTCTGGAAAATGACATGAAAATAGAACAGAACCTCTGTGCAGTTGCAAGGAATGGAGATAATTAATATACTAATTTATATGCTCAGTAAGTTTAGTCATGATGTTCTGTATCAGTGTGCGCAATGTTGCAATCGACTTTTTAATGTTACGCTGTTCACAACAGCAATGCGTCTGTTGAAACATCTGAGACATTTTATAGCTCCTGAGATATTAAAGCTCACCCAGAGCTTCATAAAGAAAGAGGAAAATGTACATTGATCATACTCAATATCCTTCACAATTTTCCAATCATTCCCTCCAATTACTCAGAAAACAATGGAGTAAGTTTGTTTTTTTCACTAATTTACTAAAGCAATAATTTTTCAAGTATTATTCGAAAATCGTTAACAGGAGAGCAAGAATCAAACCACTTCTGGAATCGCTTATCAGCTTTTAGCATGTTCTCATTTTTTTCCACAATTTTATCTTTTGCATTGAGCTCCAAGTCTTTGAGACCAGAAGGCCTCTTTGTCATCACTAATCTTTAGCTCCCTCTACAGGTTGCTTATCAAATTCAGAACGTGCAACTACAAAGTTATAAAGGCTAAGAGGAACATGTTGGTGACACTAAAGCAATATGCATTCAATTCTTATTTGGATGTGATATGAATAGTTTGGGCTCAGCTGTATGTTGTAAAATAATCTTTAAGGTATTCATGTTTCCCCTAAATAGAAAATATGAAAATCTCAGTAAAAACACTTGATCCGATAGAATGATATTATTTTTTTGTATTATTTGGAGACTTCAGAAATGAGTAAACATGTGAAGCAAAAAGCATAACACAAGCACCCAAAACTCAATGACAAATGTCTTTTTAAAGCTTACGTCTCTTCAGGTCACATGAACGGTAAAAAGTTTTAAACCAATACAGGAAAAAGAATGAACAAATAAAAACAACCAACTATTTATATGTATAAATATACATATATCTGAATTGCATTCATAGAATTCACAACAAATTAAAGAGATCTGAAGGAACGTCTCAACAGCAGCACAACTCGACAAGCCGAGCAGATAAATTAGCATTTTGCAAATCTCTAAAACAGCCAGTGAACATTAGAAGATCGACATCCGAGGGTTGAATTAAAACAAACTCCCCTAGAGTGAGACAAATATTTGCCTTCTCTTGACTTCATCTTAGCAGTTTCATCATTTGCTTCCGTCACCCCATCTTCAGGACAATCACGCCATGACAGCAGACCGAGCGGCTCTTCCTCAGGCTCAGCTCTGTTTGGGGCGTTTTCTCTGTGGCACTTCAGAGGGAGCATCGGCTGGCTTCTTGGACGCAGCCTTTTTCAACTCTTTGTCATCGGGATCAAAAAGGGCGTTCCTCAAGAAACGCGAAGCGGCTCCCTTGTCTAGCCGCGCTGCTTTCTTCTTGTCGGTGATCTCTCTGACTCTGTCCATGTAAGTCCTTATGCGCTCCTAATAAAAACAGAAGGAGGGTGATGAGAAGATCGGCAAGGATACCGAGAAAATATCAATAATGTTAAAGGATGCACATACCAGCTCCTGCTTGATTCCATGTTCTCTTGGGTTTATTCCCTTTGTCACCAGATACACTGCAAACAATTATGAAAGTCAACACAGATTCATATATGTATTTATATATATGTGTTAGTGATGCACATTTCATGGATACATTGGGCTACTTTTACATGTATATTCAATCAATACATGGCATCAGTTTTTCATTTAACAAGTCAACATCATAATGAATACATTTATCAATACAAGTAAATGAATAACTTACTCCAGAACAATGAATTAAGAGTGTAGACAGACATCAGATCCAGCTTCGCTTGCTCCAAAGGATCCAGCTGCAATGATGATTTCATAACAGTGATTACATCTATTTCACCCAAAAGTTCCATGAGACATGCAAGCACAAAAAGAAGTCAGAATCAGGGAATTTTCAGCTGAAATATCATTTTCGTAAATGTAAATCGAAGGGGTTAAAACGTTTATCGCAAGGCTCAAAGTGCTACGTTCAACAGATCTAAAATCTGGCTCAGAGTTTATGCGTTGTGCTGCGTTTTTCGTCTCTGCAAAGAAGCAACAAGCGTCACCTTCTTCATCAGGTCGTTCCTGGACATGGACATCAGCTTCTCCAGCATGGTTTTCACAGCGTTCACCGAGGAATCGAACGTCGTCAGCTGTTCGTCGATTTCATGTGGGTAGTCCTCTGTTGCCTCTCCCGCTGCCATTTTTCCTACAAATTAACAAGCCCCAAAACGTTCAGAAATCCCAACTGTAGCTCTATGAAAGAAGTGTAACAGTCAGGAAGCACCTCCGTCCCGGCTAGCTAGTTTGCTAGTTGCCAGACGCAGCTAACAGGGGGTACACGTTGTAATAAAAACGCAAAGTAGATAAAAGAAAAGGGATTTCACCAGCTAAATGTAAACGGAGTCTACTGGTGGTTCATTAGGCGTTGAAGAAAATGTATTTACCTTTTGAAGATGCTTCACGTTTTGACCTTCAAACAGGAAGTGAAAAACCACTTCCTGTTAATAATAACCTGTTTTACTTCCTCTACTGACCCCTGCCGGTTGGGAGAGTCACTGTTTGCTTGTTCGCCGCGTTCCACTTTTTTTTCGTTGCAACTTTACGTTATTTACATTAGCTTGAGTGGTTATTATTAGACTTACTAGCTGATAGCATTTAGCCCTTTGGCTAACGTTACTTTTAGTAATTAAATACAATTGAATTGAACTTTATTTCAAATTAATCTTATTTATAAGATTTTATTTGTAAAATCTTACTTTAAAAAAGAACCGTCAAGGTAAAGTAAAAAAAAAAAAAGAAGAAGAAAACAAAAGAGTCATTTTCGAGGAAGACGTAGTAAACCTGACGGAGGCGCTGCGGTTGCCTTGGTAACCAGGAACGTCATTATGTGTGAAAGAGAAGAGCCATAAGTTTTTTTTTTGTTTGTTTGTTTTTTTGTTTTGTTTAGTTTTTTTTCACCGTCGTTAGAGTCCTCAGACAGACAGCGAAGGCTTGAGCCATGGACAACTGTGATTTGGAGAAGCTCACTATCTCTGCTGGGAAGCTGCAGCCAGCCTTCTCACCACAGGTTACAAGCTACAAAGTGACAGAGGAGAGCAGCGTCAACGAGGTGACTCTGGGCCTGAGCACCAGTGACTGTGGAGCATCATACAGCATCGTGAGTGTCGCTCTCAACAAACCTGTGTCCAGGTGTCATTATCATGACTCCCATTGTTCTTAAAGGCAACTCTTTTGATTTTAGTTCTCGGGTTTCTTGTGTTGCAGCTGACTGGCGATCGCTCCAGCACGGTTGCACTGAAGGAGGGGATAAACAGAGTGGAAATTGAAGTGGTGGCCGAAGATGGGACGGTGAAGAAGTACAGCGTGGACATCACTAGGCTGTCAGTGAAGGTCGCAGAGCTCAGTGATCTGTCTCTGGAAGGGGACATTCCACTTCACCCAGCTTTTGCTACCAAAGTCCACGAATACAACAGTTAGTAGAAACTTTATTATTCTCGTCAGACCTGATGTATGTCCCTTGATTTTGATTTGTGTCCAGATTCACATACTAAAAAGTAGCTTGTTATCATTATTATTATTATTTGTTGTTGTTTTGTTTCTATTTCACTATGAAACTAACTGTCCTGGTTTATTTTCCTGCAGGTTTTGTCCCATTTCACTGCAGTTCAGTGACAGCTCAAACCAAGGTTCCAGACAGCCTGATTAAAGTTGCAGTCAATGGTCAGAGCGACTCTCAAACTGTCTTACTACATTTTGGAGACACCTTGGTGGAGATCTCTGTCTGCTCACCAGATGGCAGTGTTACGCAGGTACAAAAGTGTTTTTGGCGATCGCTCAATGTCTCATGTGCAACTGGTATGCTGGTTTCAGTGTATATTTATTTTCAAATTGCTACCATTTGCCTTGTGAACCCCTAAATCATACTTTCAAAAAAAATCTGTTCAATTTAAAGTCTCCCGCCTCTTGAGGTTGACATAAACTAAATTTTGGGGTGTGCTTTGTCAGGGCCATTAAAGTTTCACGAGGCTCTGCCACGTTTATCACTAAATAATGGCAGTCTCACTTTTGCAGGCGTACACGGTGTGTGTGACGCGGGAGCTGTTTCCAATGGCTGTGACCTTCTCTGAGGGGAAGCATCAAGTGGAATATGAATGTCCCGTGTCCATCAGCGCTCTGTACAGGCCGGTGTCTGTCCACCAGAGGTGAGACCTGAGTCAGTTGTGAGTTTCATTCATTCATTAAAATTTTCACAAACAGGTGCTTCATTTGCTATCAGTGCAAAAGTGAGACAAGCAACTTTATAGGTCCCCCACACCACCAGAGGGCACCAAGCTAACTTGATAAAAATACATATTCAAAATAACAATGAATAATCCAAATTAAATACTATTTGGTAAAAATGAAGTCTATATTATTTTTATAGTTGGTAAACAAATAAACAGGTTGATTTTGTTTATCTTGTGACAAAGCAGCTAAAAAGAAACTTCAAAGCGGATACAGGGGAGGGGAAACAGATATTGCTGATATTACTACTAGATAAACGACAAAATAAACCTCAGCAACAGTTACAATATGTTTTTATTCATTTTTGATGATTTTAACTGCTTTTTTTGTCAAGGAGAAATTATAACACAACTTAAAGCGTATATGAATTTTCTAAGCATGAGTTTAATTCATTTTGGATTTTCAAAAGTCCAACTAAAACTCCAGCCCAAATTAAATTAGGAGCTACACAAAACAAGTTTCTCTGCAACTTACAACAGGTCATGCATCCAAAGATCAATAATTTCAGGTGATTGTCATACTACTTCGCAGTGACCCGAAGAGCATCTTCTCAAGACCTTACATTGAGATGCTGGCCCGACGGTCAAAGGTCGACCCGTTTACCGGTTCTGTTCTGGGAGACGGCTGGAAGGTCTCTGAACTGGACCTCGACAAAATGATGTCAGCAGCTCCGGTCCACTGCTTCTTTCGTTACCGAGGTACAACTTCGAATTTATTTCAACCTGCGACTGAATGTGGTTTGAGCAACGGTAACGAAGAACTTCACACTTGGGACTTTTAGGAACTGTAAATATGCTAAATATAATATTCACTGTCACTTCTTGGATCCTCAAAGATTGATGTTCTTATTCCACCCTGGACAGTAGCTCTACTTGTTACAGGTGCTTGAATGACGGCATTGTTGAAAAGCTAGATGCTCTCTCTCACTTCTCCTCTTCACCCAACCTGTGATATCAAGTTTCATGGTGGTAGTGTAGGGAAAGATTATATTGCGCCAATGAAAGGGATATTATTGCTTAACTAAACGCGTAGGATCCGGCTACTTATAGGGACACAGGTTAATTCTGTAAAGTTGTGCAAGGAAAGGTTTGCACACACAACAGTTTCCAATTTCTGTGCCTTTTTTGTGTTTTGATTTGACAGGATGTGACGGTGTGATGCAGCTATCAGAGCTCGGGTCGCACACCCTGGACTGCCCACACAAACCCACCGGGGAGCTGGATGCGAAGGTTCAGATGAAGGATGAAGCAGAGTTCAGCGATTGTTATTGGCCTTAACTCTGCTCATCCTTTATTTACATGTCAGAGTTCCTCTCTCAGCTTCTCAATGCCAAAGCAACATTTGCTACGTGTGGTTCTGAAATGAGTTGTTGACGTCTGCGTCTGTAAATGTTTGAATCTGCCGTGATGTTTTTGCCAGTCTTCAATACTAGTAAAATCAGTGCCCGTTCTTTCAGGATGTCATAGAGACCAGGTGGTATAAGGAGTACTTTGCAACATCTGCAGGTTTGGAGATAGAGACAAAGCATGTTTGCACGGTAATTATCTCCTGCTTTCTTGTTTACACTCCACAGATTTCACTGAAATGTATATTTATGGTCTGGATAGGCTTTCCACAAGCATTTTACTGGGTGAATAAGTTAACCATTCATCCATTTGTGAGGTCAGACACTGACGTTGGACAGGAAGGCCAGGTTTGCAGTGTCTAATTCATCCTAACAACAAGCCTGTCCGCTGCTTTGACCCTGCTTTGTTCACCGATAGTCGTAACAGAATAGGAAGTGGTCATCCCCAAACTATCCCCACAAAGTCTGGGATTTTTATAGACGACCTTCACCACATTCCTTACTTCCACATGCTGGATCAAAGTCAATGAAAGGGTCATCAGTTCCTTGGGTAACTTGGCTTGGTTTTTAGCATTGATGGCTCAGCCTGCGCTGCTTGTTTTCTACAGGTGCGTAACTGGGAGAAAAAACTCCAAATGACAGAAGAGGAGAACACTGTGGATAACCTGTGTGCTCAAGCTGAGGAGCATCTGAAGCTCCACAGGGAACACCTGCTGAAACAAGGTACGTTTTACCTAAGGTGCTGCTTATGTGGTTTTGTCTTGATTCTACAGGCTTGTCTGAAATGTAACTGAGCTTTCTATAAAATGTTAGCTCGGTTACATGGTGCTTCGTGCCCCGGTTGGTTTGGGTGGGCTTTGAATGTAGGTTTTCACAGTACATTCATGGCGCACTGAGTGATATTGTAAAATTACTGGTCCCTTATTGACTGCCTGATTGCAATTTTTGACCATGAGAATAAAAAACAAACTAACATGTATGGAAAGTGCAAGATTTTTTCATTTATTTAAAGGAATAACAGGGTGTGTATTTCAGAAGACGGTTACAAAATATACCTGCCCCACCGACCTGGGACCAGATAAGACTCTAGTCACAAAGGTAAAAGCTTCTCTACAGAGACAAAGACAGTGGGTTGTAAGCTATATGTTGTAAATACCAATATTGGGATCAATCAATCAGATCTATGTCATTCTGTGGCTGAAACAGATTACTCTAAGCACCTGTTAAACTCAGTTCTTTCTTTCTATTTTTTTATTTTAACTTTCTCACCGCAATAAATGCAAATGCAGCAGAAATGACATGAAATATTCTCTAATATTCCACAGCATGTTTTTACGTTTATAGTTAGAATCATTTCTGCAGTTTAATCTCGACAGAAAAGCACATCAGAGACAGAATAGATTTACGGAAACTGCACTAAAACCTGCCGTTTTACTGGCCGGGCTCACACCCGAGCCCTCCTCCATGTCATCTCAGCCGCAGCCATTAAAAAAAAACACACGCAAATGGGCCCATTTGTGGTCGCCTGAGACGTCCTCTTTTCGTCTAATGTGCCAGGGACTCTAGTTACCGCTCGGGATCCTTTTAGGGTTTTTTTTCTTCAGGCTCGTTAATTGTTTGATGACTCACAGAAGCGACATTTTAGACTGATCCCAGTTGACCGCTGAAACTGAGGAGAGATAGAGCAGCAGATCCAGCGAGAGAGAGAGAGAGAGACACAGACCTCTTAAAGCGTAAGCAGCAGCAGCTTTGTGTTTTTAAGAGGCTGAGTGGCTTCAAGAGATGCTCAATTTAACCCGCCGGGGTCGTATTGCTGCAAAACAAAAAGGCTGCGTCACGCTACTTAAACACATTAAATGTGCAACGTTAAGATGTGTTTATCCCTCGTTTTCTGTAAGTTTAT